GGGCTGGTGAGATGGCTCAGTGGTCTAAAGCACCTACTTAGAACAAGCTAAGCTCAAGCAAAGCATGGAGACCTCGGTTCAATCCCCCAGCACCACATGCTGGCCCACCCGCCCCCTGGTGGGCTGAGCTGGCCACACAATAAATAAATAAATAAATACATAAATAAATAAAAGAAAATGAATGGACACTTCTCATTAGTACATATGGCCAATAAATACATGAAAAGTGTTCAATATCTCTGACCATTAGAGAAATGCAAATTAAAACATTGAGGTTCTATCTTTTTTTTTTTCATTTATGTATTTGGTACAGGGTCTTGCTACACAGTTCGGACTCATAGTGATCCTCCTGTTTTCAGCCTCCCCAGCGCTGGAATTACAGGCATGCAACACCCTGCCCAGCTTAGTGCACCTCAGGGACAGACAGGGACAGCAAGGCATGCAGGAGCAGGTGAGATTCTATCTTATTCCAGAAGAAGTAGCCATGATCAAAAAATCAAATAATAACAAATGCTGGTGAGGCTATGGGGAAAAAGGGACCCTCTGCATTACTGGTTGGAATATAAACTAGTATAACCATAGCTAAAAATAGAAACTTCATTTCACCCCCAAGTATGTCCTTAACTTTTTAATATCTTAATGACTTTCAGAAAGATATCTAGAAGGGGAACTGCTAGGTAAAATCAAATTTCTTTTTGTCTTTTTGAGACAGGGTTTTAATATGCGGTTCAGGCTGGCTTTGAGCTCACTTTCTAGCCCAGGATGGCCTCAAAATCCCAGCTATCCTCCTGCCTCAGCCTCCCATCTGCTGGGATTACAAACATGTACTACCACCCCATATTAGTGGAGTATGTATTTATACATAATGGAGCACTACTATGCTATAAAGAAGGATAAATTTGAATCATTTGTAGCAAAACGGATGCACCTTGAGACTGTAATATTAAGTAAAATAAATCAGATACACAGCTTAACTATTAACACAGTTTCTCTTATATGAGAAATCCAAAGTATATATAAATTAAATTAAAGAGCAAAATAAATACTGGGTGTGGTCGCACATCCCTGTAATCAAAGAGCTGAGAGGCTGAGGCAGGAAGATCGCTACAAGTTGAAAATCAACCTGGACTACCTACTAAATTCAATACCAGTCTGCACTACACAGGGAAGCCAAAAAACAAAACAATGTAGTAAAATAAAGACAGACTTAAAAAACAAAAAACAAACAAAAAAAAGACAGACTTTTAAAAAAAGACAGATAATAGGAGATTTAGAGATAGATATTTTTCAAATGAGAAGAGGATCAAAAGATGTAAGGTGAGGGCCAGCCAGATAGCTCAGCCGACCAAAGCGCCTGCTGAAGCAGAGTGCCGCGGCTGGGGTTCCATCGCAGGTGTGCCGCGCTGGCCCCACCCCCAGGACGCACT